ATTGATGGAACTATGATATATATAGACGCCCCGAAAGCTACTGAGTACCAATTTGTTAACCGGTATGGAAATCATTCAATTAATGCAATGTGATTTTTTTGTTTTTGTTACTGAATTATTTTGGAAAGATCCAAATAAATAGTTCTTTAATGTAGAAAAATATAGTTATTTATATAAACATACATATGATAGTCAAGACGGACTTGCTTTTTTTCCTTAATAATTTTCAAGGCAGCCAATTTATCAAACAAAGTTGTAAAGTGATAAGTGATAAGTCGTTAGTGCAATTCGGCCCTGGTTTCAATGTAACCGAGACAAGTTCAACGTAATCGTCGCAAAGTAAGATGAAATGACTCGATAGGGTTACAAAATTTCAAGGAGAAACGATGACGTCTGCAGACAAATCGTTCGTGCGGCCTATCGTTCGAGATATGTATGTAGATAATAAGGCTGTGGCTTTGCCCGTATGAAAAATCAGAGTAAACAAGTTCTTAATCGCACATCTCTCTGCCAAGATGAACACGCGCGCTAATTCAATTGAATATAAAAGTATTCGATAACGAATTTTCGCCAACTTTGATTGGGAAACTCCCACTTTGTTTTTGTTGGTTTTGTGCCATCCTTAGTGCCAAATATATAGTTTGTGAGGTTGCTTTTCATGGTCACTACTTACAAGGGTTAAAAAAATAAATATGTATATTTATGTACATAAAAATTGGATTTGATTGAGACTTTGCTGCGAAATCCCGCTTCTATTGAAACCATTTCAACGGAGTCAAAACAAATAAACGCATTTGATAATTTCATAATACTTTTGTTCGTTTATTTATGTTTCAAAATAGAAAAATATTCGCAAATATACATATGTACCACTGTCATTCCATTATTAATTCGTTTTTTTTTTTATTATTTCAGTTCACTTATTGTTTACTTATTAAAATATATACTATTTCAATACACATATAAATACTTTTTCCTATCTGCGCCTTTTATTCAACATCGTCGGCGATGATAATTACATTTGCGTTTCTTCGTGTACAGTATTACCTTCTCAGACTTTGGCTTTGTTGCATTGTAACGAGCAGAAGGGGCATTGGCTGGGGCGGCAGTGGAGATAGGCACGAAAGTGCTGATATTCCGTCGTACGCTGATAGGTGTTACATTAATTCGTGAGGCAGTTGCACTTGTTGCCGCACGTGTTGTTGTTGTTGTGACAGCATCATGTCGAAAATATTGGCGATAATTATTTGGCTGAAGTTTTTGCAGTTTCTTCAGTAGCTCTTGTATAAAATCCATTAATATTAAACAAATGTCATTTGACTGTTGCTTTTCAATGCCATACCGTTGTAGAGAGTCTGCCCTCGCCGACGGAATTGCAGCGGCTAACAGACATTGTAGCAATATGAAGATAAATGCAAATTTTATGTAGAAAAACATGAATGTATTTTTTTTTTTTTTTGTTACTTTTTTGCACTGACTGAGAAAACGAGTCGCTGCCTTAACTCACGTTGCAAATGCGACTACTTTCAGAGGCCTTAGAATCAAATGACCCTTCATTTACAATATGCGGCTGCTTCTTATCAGTATAAAATGTGTACGCACATATACATATTGTTTATTTACTTCAATAGTGTCATAACTCAAAAAAAAAACAAAAACTCGAGAAAACCCGCTTTAAATTTTGAATTTTCATATACTCCCATAGTAAAATTGTGAGCTAATGGTAATCAATAACTCTATGAAGAAGAGGCAGCGTTAATTTCTTCGTACTTGACTTAGTACTTGTATTTTTTGAATTATTACATATTGAAGTAAATGAGCGATATGTACACTGCCGGCAAAAAGTATTGGCACAGAAAATTTTTCACAATATATGCATACATTTTTTTTTAATTTTCCGCCAATTTTTTATAAAAATATAGTTCATTCTAAAACAAAAAAACATACATATATAATTCCTAAACTTATTGTAAAATTCAGCAAATAGTCATGCAAATTTTCAAGTTTTTAATCAAATTTTTAGAATTCTTTTGGGTGTGCAGCTTTGCAGCCCATTAAATTCTAGTAAAACGCTGCAACTTCGGAGTTAGTCAAAAATCGCATTGATTTTTGAGAATTTTTTTTGTTAAAGGTGCTTTGCATTTTTTCTATATAAATTATTTTTGAAACAAAAAATTTTGTATGGAAGAGACTGCGTAAAAAAAACAAAACTTTATTATAATAATATAATACAATTGGGCTACAAATTTACATACTCAAAAAAATTTTAGAAAAACTGATTAAAAAAGTGAATGAAAATTTGTAGAATTTTCGTGAGTTTTGCATATAGTTTAGGAATTATAGTTTAATGTTTTTTGTGTAGAATGAATCATATTTTGATAAAAAATTGGCGGTAAAATTTTAGGAAAAAAATTTTTGCATATATTGTAAAAAATTTGCTCTGCCAATACTTTTTGCCGGCAGTGTAAATGTAGAAAACTTTCTTGTATTGATTTACATTGTTGAAGTGTACATAATCAGCACTACACTTGTATACATAGCATTTAAGACTGTACTTACTCTATAACTAATCGTTCGCATATTTATACGAGTACTGCTGATCCTCTTTTTACGCGGTTAACTGGGACCAAAAATGTACGCGTAAAAATATATAAATTTTCATGTAAATCAACCTAAATATGCGGTCCAATTTCTACAATACACCGCGTAAAAAGGTAATCCGCGTAAACAAATACGTATTTGCAATGGTATCTTCTAAATTGTACGAACTCAATATGTAGGTACATATATACGCCCATCTCTACAAAAATACATACATAAATATGTATGTATGTTTGCATAGATATTTTAAATGAAAACGAAAACTTATGTACTCAGACTAAATGAACAATACAAACAAAATAACATTTTTTAGAGAGAGAGGTCTGTGAAGATATTCACCGGTCCTTTGCTCCAGAGACCACCACTCCCTATACGTTGCTTTGAGGGGGATTTGTGTAGGAAATCTCGCTCTCGGAGCCATCCTCGGTACACACCGATCAGTTGCTATCGGTATGAAGTAGAATTCTCCTAAGATAGCCGAGTGCCCAAACTCCGGAAAGAGATAATCCAGCTTGCTTCAGTCTGATAGCTTTGCATGCAATGTCCACTGGTACCAATACCAATTAGGGATGCCCTTTACACCCGTTCTATCCGCTTGGCTAGCGTGGACCTTTCCAGTTAGTTCCACCAGACAATGGTCCCATGCAGCATATTTAATAGGTTTAAAAATATTTCATAAAGCCATTAAATAACCTTGGGGGAGACCCCATCTCCTTCCAATAGCGCTTTTACAGCAGCAAAGGGCAACCGATGCCTTTCTCACTCGTTCCTCCATATATGGTCCCCACATTAGTTTTCTGTCAAGAATCACTCCCAAGTATTTGACTTAATCAGAAAGCACAAGTGTTTGCCAGGATTAATAGCGAGCCCGCAACTTGCAGACCAGTTTGTGACTAAATGTATGTATCCCTGCACAAGTCGTACAGAGTGTTCAGAAACTTACCTCTGACACTAAGTGTCACGTCAGCGGCATAGACACCTTCTCCTTTCCAGCTCCTCCAGGATGTCATTAATGACAAGGACCAAGAGAAAAGGTGAGAGGAGCCACCCTTTCGCTGTAGAGCGGCGCTCCCAGACTTAGCAATGACAGTGCTGTCGCTGAGTATGCGTGAGATAAGCGCACTTAGGTTGGTCTCAACTCCGAGCTTGCTTGAGGCATTTACAATCGCCTCGGGTCATACGTTATTAAAATTTGTGCCATTCTTAGTGACAAATATAATTTGTGTGACTGATTTTCATGGTCACTACTTACAAGGGTTAAAAAAATTAATTANCCACTCTGGTTTATATTAAGACTTTACTGCGAAATCCCGCTTCTATTGAAACCATTTCTACGGAGCCAAAACAAATAAATACGTTTGATGATTTGATAACACTTTTAATCTTTAATTCGTTTATTTATGTTTGAAAATGGAAAAATGTTCGCACATATACATACAGTCTGTCAATAAAGTTTAGGTACAGCGAATTTTTTACAATATGGGCAACTATGTTTTAAATATTTTATTTTTCGCGAATTTTTTATAAAAATATGGTTAATTCTACAACAAAAACCCCAAAATACAAAGTTCCAAACCTTGTGCAAAATTAAAGAAAATTCTGCAAAANATTTTATTTGAGCAACTAAGTTCCAATTGGACTTTTAACCGTGGTTGCGCATATTTGACATTTCCATCAATTATAGTTTAGAAATAAAAGAGACTGATGCTTTGGCTTGATGCATTTCTGAACGCGCCCTATTTTTTAAATATTTTATTTTTTGCGAATTTTTTATAAAAATATGGTTAATTCTACAACAAAAACCCCAAAATACAAAGTTCCAAACCTTGTGCAAAATTAAAGAAAATTCTGCAAAATTTCATTCAAATATTGCACTTTTTATTTACGCTCTCTAGAAAAAAGTTGAGTATGCAGTTTTTTAGTCCATTCAATTTTAGTAAAATAAAGTGAAAATATGAGGAAGCTACCATTGATTTTTGGGGAATTTTTTTGTTGAAGGTGTCGCACATTTTTTCCATATAAAAAATTTATCAAACATTATTTTATATGGAGAAAATGAGCGAGACCTTCAACAAAAAAAAATGCTATAAATTAATGATAAGTCCCAGCTACCTCAAACTTGCACTTTGTTATACTAAAATTGAATGGGCTAAAAAACTGCATACTCAACTTTTTTCTAGAGAGCGTAAATAAAAAGTGAAATATTTGAATGAAATTTTGCAAAATTTTTTTTAATTTTGCACAAGGTTTGGAACTCTAATTTTTTTGGTTTTTTGTTGTAGAATTAACCATATTTTTATAAAAAATTATCGAAAAATAAAATATTAAAAAATAGCTGCCTGTATTGTAAAAAATTCGCTGTACCTTAACTTTATTGACTGACTGTATGTATGTACCACTGTCATTCCTTTGTTAAGTAGTTTTTTTTTTATTATCTCAGTTCAATTATTGTTTACTTATTAATATACATACTATTTGAATACACATATAAATACTTTTGCCTATCTGCGCCATTTATTCAACATCGTAGACGATGATAATTACATCTGCGTTTCGCCGCCATGTACAGTACCAGCTGCTCGGCGTATGGCTCTGTTGCATTGTAACGAGCAGAGGGGGCATTGGCTTGGGTGGCAGTTGAGATTGGCGCCAAAGTGCTGATATTCCGTCGTAGGCTGATAGGTGTTACATTAATTCGTGAGGCTGTAGTAAAGGAATTTCGTTTCCCTGCACTTGTTGCCGCACGTGTTGTTGTTGTTGTGACAGCATGATGTCGAAAATGTTGGCGATAATGATTTTCATCTGTGTGATTTTGTTCAAGTTGCTGCTGTTTCTTCAGCTGTTGCTCTTGTATAAATTTCATTAAGATTAAAGTGTCATTTGACTGTTGATTTTCAATGCCATACCGTTGTAGGGAGTCTACCTTCGCCGACGGAATTGCAGCGATTAACAGACATTTCGGTAAAATGAAGATAAATGCAAACTTTATGTAGAGAAACATGAATGTATTCTTGTTTTTTTTTTTTGCACTGACAGAGAAAACGCGCCGCTGCCTTAACTCACGTTGCAAATACGACTACTTTCAGAGGCCTTATAATCAAATGACCCTTCATTTACAACATGCGGCTGCCTCTTATCAGTATAAAATGTGTACGCACATATACATATTGTTTATTTACTTCAATAGTGTCATAAGTCAAAAAAAACACAAAATCGAGAAAACCCGATTTAAAGTTTTGAATTTACATATCGACTGCTGAGTGGAAGATCGACCTATCTCGGCAGCCAGTTCGAAAACGCTCTATCTCAAAAATCTATTCAGGAACACCCTATTTCAGAATTTTATTGAAAAACACCCTATCTCAGAATTCGGTTGAAAAACGCGATCGCGTCGATCTTCCACTCAGCAGTCGATATACTCCCATAGTAAAATTGAATACATATCTTGTTCTGGTGAGCTAATGGTAATCAATACATCTATGAAGAAGAGGTAGCGGTAATTTCTGCGTACTTGACTTAATACTTGTATTTTTTGGATTATTACACTATTGAAGTAAATGAGCGATATGTAAATGTAGAAAACTTTCTTGTAATGATTTACATTATTGAAGTGTACATATTGAATCAGCACTACACTTGTATACATAGCATTTATACATATTTATACGAGTACACCTGATCTTCTTTTTACGCGGTTAACTGGGCCAAAAAATGTACGCGTAAAAAAGCCGCGTAAAGATATATCAATTTTCATGCATCACAGCCTATGCGGTCCAATTTCTACAATACACTGCGTTAAAAGGTAATCCGCGTAAAAAGAAAGGTATTTGCATACCTATATGTACATAAGCCCATCTCTTCAAAAATACATGAAGATAAACGAAAACATACAGGGTGTCCCAGAAGTAACGTGCCAAACTTTAGGGCAAG